ATATGTATAGGAATAATAAGAGTGTTGAAATAGAATAAATTGATGAAATTATGCAATCATAGTGGTACAATTTTATAGTTTGGAAAAAAAAAAATAACGAATGAAAAAACGAAAGGAAATAAAACATACTATATCAAATCTATATATGTATAATTAATTAATTACTAACCAATAGCATTTAATAAAACCTTGAATATTTTTTCCTCCAAAAACCGTTACTTTTTTATGTATTTAATCTTTTATATAATTATTAAATAATCAATACTAATCACTTCAAAAATACAAAAAATCATTTTAAACTTTTTATTAGTGACAGTTGACCATATAATATGTTGATCGTACAATGTGATTAGATATTATTGTGGTTACGTTTAAATTATTTTTTTTTAAAAAATTTAAAACGTATTTGAAATTCCTAAATAAATGATAAATAATTAAAAAAAAAAGACGTACCAAAATATACATTACATCCAATCAGATAAACACAATTTTTTTAAAAAAAGTAAATATTCCAACTTCTTTATTTGTAAATGTTGGCATGCAAAAAAGTGAAAGAAAAATAATTAATCATTATATGCATACAAGTAACTCACAATACTTCACAATACTTTATTTACATATGTACAAATGCACAGGGTCGAATACTAGTAATTCTTAATCTCCAATTTACAAACTACACTAAGGGGTCGTTTGGTTGGAGGGAAATGGAGGGGAGGGGAAAGGCCGGAGGGGATGGATTCTTTTAATTTCCTTTGTTTGTTTATAAGCTAAGAGGGGAGGGGAGAATAAATTTTAAGTAAGAATCCCTCTCCTCCTCCAATTTTGCTCCCCTCCAAAAGTGGGAGGATTTGGAAGAGAGGGAAAATATTAACACATAAAATTACTATATTGTCCTTATTATGTTAAATATTATATTATTCTGTTTCATACATCATTAAGGATATAACTGTCACTTTCACAATATTTTTTTTCCTCTCTATTATTTTAAGCAAACAAGGTTTACCATTTTCCCTCCACTTTCCTCCTACAAAATCCCTCCAAACAAGATAAATTTTACCTCCACTCCCCCTCCCCTTCACTTCCTTCATTAAAATCCCTCCCCTCCCTTCTCCGTTAACCAAACATACTCTAAGAATTGAAGCTAATCTTCCATAAAATATAGCTTGTGTTCTAAAATTAAAGTTTAAGCTAATCTTTCACAAAATATAGTTTGTGCTCTAGGCTATGTTTGGTAGACAAATAAATTAATTTTTATCTTATTTGGTTAGCCCCGTTTGGTAGGACGGACATTTTTAAAAAGCTCGAACCTATCTGATAAACTTCTTCGGGTAGTTTTTCAAATAAACTCGTTGGAATTTTTATTTTACTAGCTTATCAGCTAATTTTACCGATCACTTTTATCTTAGTTTTTTTTAGTTATAAGTCATAAGCTATAAGTTCAAAAATTACTGATAAGGTAGCTATAACTAATACTTTTACCAAACATAGCCTAAAATTAAAGTTCTATCTTTCATTATAATGCTCGTGCTCATACAATTTTAGCTTTATTTGTTTGTGAAAAACTGAAAATATCTCATAAATTCTGTGTTTACCTGAATCCTGAAAAGACTGAGCCAACATCACAAATTCACAATCAAAGATGGATAGACTTTATCCCTTTTATCTTCTACTGATCTTCAACTGTCTTAGCTTTTAGATCCCTAACCAAAAACCTAAAATAAAAAAAAAATAAAAAAAAAAATGTAAAACCAACATAGCAAATATTTGCACTTCTATTTATTATTATTTATTGATCTGCAGATGATATGGAGAAATTAAGAAAATGTATTTACCTGTGGCTCTTTTGCCCTCTTTAATTCAGATTTTGCACAACAAGTTTTCATGTACTATTTTTGGGTAAAGGAAAACAAACAACTTGTTTTTTCACTATTAACAAAAAATATGTGATGATATATAAACAAAAAAAAATATTATTTAAATGACTATTATACCCTTCTTTGCAAATAGATAGATTGTGCATTATTGTTTAT